TGAACAAAGTGATTTTGGTGGGGAGCGACAGATAGATTCTTTTTTGCAGCTCAGGACAGCATCAAACTCAACAGAGCAGAAGCTGTTGCTTCAGTCACCGTCCTCCTGCTTCAGCCCTTAGGTGCCAGGATAACAGGTACCTGACTCCACTGACTAAGAAACCAATTCCCAGTGCAGCGAATATGTCAGCCTTTTGAAAAGAATGTGCCCAAGGAATTTTGAACTCAGAAACATATTAGCAGAAATTATAGAACTATCAAATTGAGTTATTGCAGCTATCAAACTAATGTATCTATGGTTAAATAGATTTATGAAAACAAGAATGAGACATAATTTCACTTCATACATGATGTTATTAATTTAAAGAAAATAATAAAAAAAGAAGCCAGGGCTCCGAGGCTATGGTCCAGTCACTATAGTATCTATCACAGAAGCATGAAGACACTTGGAACTGAAAACCCCTGTAAAAATGTCAGTCATGGTGTCCTCTGGAGCCTCAACTAAACTGATCCCCAGGGTGACTGGCCAGCCAGCCTTGAATAATGGGCAAGACCCCAGTAAGAGACATTTTGAAATACAAGGTGTTCACCTCTTGAAGTATCTTTGAAGTTGACCTCTACCCTCCACGTGGAGGTCTACCCACATATACCCATTAACACACACACACACACACACACACACACACACACACACACACACACACCAGTGGGGGGGGGGCGTCCAGAAGGAAAGAGGGAGGAAGAGCAAGAGAGAGAACAATAGTAACATAATGACAAACAGTGACCAAAACTGGACGAATTGACAACTTTCTTCTCTGGGAAACAGTTTTGGAACTTCTCAAGAAGTAAAATGTGGAGTTATCTTAAGACCCAAAAATCCTACAACCAGGTTAGAAACAGAGATTTGGCAACATCATAAGAGAAAACTCAAGTCATTTTTCCAGCTTAGTTTTTAGCTCTGTGAAAATTGTTAGCATTCCTTTCTTTATACTAGAAAGTTTTCATTTTCTACAGCTTGGTATAGCTTTGCTAGTCTTACTATGGAATTTTATAATTTTCTGAAACACATTTTGTACTATTGAAAGACAAATCAAGGAAGAAAGATTAAAACTAAGAAAGTCAATAAACTCCTAATGCTTTTTGAATACTATCAAATATTTCCAGAATAGTGGTATTGAGTGTGAACTACTAAAAACTTAAAAAAACAGTAACCAAACTAATTTATTTTTACCATGAGTATGCCTGGTGCCTACAGAGGCCAGAAGAGGGCGATATGTCGCTTGGAACTGTCGCTCCAGACAGTTGAGAGCCTTAAGGCAGGCAAGGGGATTGAACCCACTTTCTCTGGAAGAACAACCAGTACCCTTAACTTCTGAGCTATATTGCAGCCTCTAGTGAGTCAAAGTATTAAAACATATTTGTATTATGCAATATGAGAACTAGATACTGGGAGCTGGAGAGCCAGTTCCTTCAGTAAAATCCTTACCACGTAAACATAGGGACCTGCACAGCCAGGGTGGTGGCATGTGGCTGTAATCCTCTTCCTCATATACACACAGGTGGATCCTTCAGGCTTGCTGGCTATGTAGTCTAGCAGAATCAGATCTAATCTAATCAGAGACTGCACCTCAAAAAGGAAATTAGAGCCAGGTATCGCGGCACAGACCTTTAATCTCAGCATTAGCATTTGGGAGCGAGAGGCAAGCAGGTCTCTGTGAGTTTCAGGCCAGCCTGGTCTAGAATTCCAGGCAGCCAGGGCTACACAGTGTGTCAAAAATAAAGTAAAACAAAGGGGGAACCGAGGAAGACATCCAGTGCTGACCTCTGGACACCACATGCACATACAAACATACGTGTAGACACATGAGTGTGCAGACACAGACACATGCAAATTCACTGCTTTCCTAAACCTCTTATAGATGAATATTTGTGATGTATGTATTGTTTTCCCTTTAGGGTAACTTCAATAAAAGCAGACAAAACTTGAGAACTCTAACCAAGTGACTTGCACAGTATAAATTCTCCTTTCGTATAACTTAAGATTTTTATTGATATATCTTCTGTATATATGTATTTTTGGGGGGATACATTTAAGAGAAATGTTACAAAATTCAAAGCTTCTAGGAAATAAATAGATCTCAAGTAAATTCTTGAAAATCATCTTCAAATGAGTGAAGGCTGTATACTACAAGCCTCTCTCTTGTCACCTATGGACAACTCTGGGTGTATTTTTCACAGTAATAAATATTTAATGTAATCATGCAAATCACATCACTTGTTTAAAATAGTTGTAATTTTCTGGCTTGCTTGCATTTAATTCTAGCAAGGGGAAAACTCAGAAGCTGTTTATTTTCTACTTAAATAACAGAGTGCTTGTGTGGATATCTGTGTGAGGGTCGTTTCTATTCTCTTAAGAATTACCCATCCTTTAAATGAGACCTTATGATAAGGCTAGCTTCATATTAAGTTGTTACTGTCCCATTTCAAGGTGAACCTTACTAATATAAGGATTTCAGAAAACAAAGGACATCTGCTTCATCAACATAACCTTTAACATAACTTTTATAAATACTAATGAAAATTTAATACGAATAATTGTTTAAAAATTGTGACTCCTCAGCATAGCATCTCATTATAATTATTATAGTACATAACAATATAATTATATATGCTATATAGTATCAATTATAATAAGCACTATATGTAAGTAATTTAATATATACATTTTAGAAGATATGTATCTATGCTTTTACATTTTGAGAGAATACCAAAAACAATGCCAATTTTTTTTTATAAATTATTCTTAATATAAAGCCTGACACATTTTTGGAAAATCGGATGAACTAGAAAGGAACAAGCTCATTTTGTTTACTATATTCATAACCCACTATTTCGCACTAGAGCACTGATGGAGATTTAGAGGAAACCACAAGGGAACTCAGTGCAGATGAATCATTCCACTGATTCCCCAGCAGACACTGTGAGTATCAAGGGAGTGATCCAAATTCCACTCTCTGCTACTAAATGGAGTAAAACAAAAATAAAATTCATTTAAACAGGCTCTGGAAATTTTTCATAATATCACTAATTTTTAGATTTGGAAGAGCGTTGGTTTTCAACAAAATAAAGGCATGATATTAATTTTGCCAATGAAAGTATATATGCGCACAAAATCATTTTGTATTATAAGCTATTACACAGGCCCACATCAAAGTCATTCTGTATCGTGGCTCTTTCTTTTACGTAATTCAGTTTTCCAAGTTACCATTACATGTGACTTAGGCTAAGGATAATATTTAAAACAATAGTTCAAATAGTTATGGGGAAATTAAGATAATTAACATTTAGCTGGACTTAATTAAGAATAGTTAAGAATGCTTTCTGTTCCCTGCAAACACTTCAAGGAGCTCACAACTTTCTCTGACTACAGATCCAAGAGAAATCTGATACTCTCTTCTGGCTTCTTTTGGCTCTCTTGTACATGTGTGCATGCATACACATATATGTACATACACGTATACAGTCCCAAACTTAAATAAATCTTTAAAAAATACTCAGCTATTCTCCTTAACATGCCTGTGGACAAAATCTGGTGTTGCTATCCTGAGACTGCCTCATTTGATCCACCGAATCAGTGGATCACAGTGGATCAAAGTGTCCAGAGTAATGTTGACTGATTAATTTAAACACAGGTGAATTAATGTATACTTTCCAATCGAAGTGAGTAAGATAGTTTTAGGTGGTTGTATTTTACAGTATTTCCATTGCAACCATAAAGCCTGCCTGGATTATCTTATGCAGACAACAATCACAGCAAACACAGCAAGTCCGAAACAACCTACCAAAGAAGAAGGTCGAAGGGATGATGATGCTCCTGGCCAGGTCTTATATCAAGTCTGAACAACATGACGATTACAAACTTACCATTTTACTCTCCGATGTAATTCAAGTCTACACTTTAAATGTCGACTTGTCCAACGTGATACTATTTATTAAATTCTATGTGTATGATTATTCAGTTGTTTTGCTTAATGAGATGTATCATTCATTATAGCAGTGATCCCACACACCAATAACCAAGGCAAAACATTTAGTGAAAATCTACTATGCTGAATAAATTTTCAAAGTGGTTTCTTTTGTATGGAAAAATTGATGGCCAGACACAGATTAATGTTCAGTTAAATGTCAAGCTTGTTCATCATGTACTGTTGTATATCACTTACATTAGAAAGATATTAACAAAGGCAGCTGAAATGACGTTTAATCCAAAGTATTAATCGCCTCATTGTCACTTAAATAAACTAATGAGCCCCGAAGAAGTTATAATTGACAGAGAGGGAGGTTTACAGAACAGAGGTGATGCTGATGGAAGATGCCACTTGAACTCCACTTCCCAAAGACAAAGAGCCTTTGTGAGTTTTACAGTAATAGGAGTTAAAGGTGATCTCCTAGGCTCAAGAAGCAATTGTTATGCATAGGGGTGAGGAAAGGGGCAGGATGGGGCTCAGCCTGACAATTCTAATGTCATGTGTTCTCTTGAAAAGCAACACCATTTTGGTTTGAATTATATTTGATTTGCATTTTATCTCTTGTCTGTACCACGTGTGTATACCTCGTCTCCTTCTGCAGTGGAGTTTCAAATCACCAGCCTTCACACCTAAGAGGTATTCTGAGGTGAAAGCCCTCTAGAGTTTACAGCTCCTAAAACTGAATAATCACCAAAATCCTGGAGCTAAGGACATTGGGCTGGTGATATAGCAAAATCTCACTATTTCCATGAATTCAGTCCCTCCAAACTTGATATACAAATGTAAAATTCTGTTGGGCTCTTGGATGCTCGTCTCAGTTTCATTTTCATGAAAACTAGGGATGAGCTCCTCCAGCTGTAAAACCGAGTTGTGAAATGTTGTGATTGACAGAATTATATGCAACTGTCACTTAAGTTCACAAAAAAAAAAATACAGTATATTAAATCATAGAAAAGAAAGCATGGATTCTAACCACTTTGTCCTCCTTTGGGAAAACATCCAACGAAGCAGAGCAGGGAGAGAAGAAAGAGAGAGAAACAAGAATGAGCCTCACATTAATAAAGTGATGTCAATGCAACAAATACATTTCTCCAGGGTTAAAACACAGAAAGCTCATGCTGGATGCAAGAACTGAGCCCACTCTCCTGAGTTTTAGATTTCAGACTAGTCCTACATTTAAAGTATTACTTGGTGGCAGGCATTCTGATATATATCTGCAATCCTAGCTCTCAGGAGGCTGGGCCCGAAAGATCCCAAAGTTGTTATCAATCAACAGCAATATGCTTCAGAGAGCAAGCAGTATCTCCAAAGCAAAAACAAAGGAAATCTTCAGAAAAATAATGTCATTTTGCCACATGCTACCTCCTATTATTGAAAATACTTTATTAAATACATAAACAACACCAAAATTTTATTAAAATTACAGTGAAAATGGTTAGAGACAAAATTTATAAGAATATCTAATGAAATGTCATATATCAATATTGGAGAAATACAAGTACTTTAGGCACGATGACTTATCCCATAACAATAAAAATAGTATTTATTAATATGTATTTCAATATTTTATCATAAGAGAAAACAGTCTTAAATGCTATTTTTCTCTTACCCATAAGACAAATTTTAAGCTGCACCTTCTTTAGTTTTACTTCTTTAGATATTTATTTCAAGTTGTGGTAATTTTAGTGTAAGAGCGATGGACTAAAGCATGCGTCCGTATCTGTATCAAAGAACTGAAGCACTTCCTAGCTCAGTTTTCTTTAAACAACCTGAATTTGACCCTATCAACTTTAATATACCAGCGATCAGCTGTGTGGCAGCTGGCTTGCCTCAACTCTATGGTGGCAAGTTAACAGCTTCAGCAGCTGTGGGTACTCAGGCAGCACTAACCCGCGGCTGGCATGCACTAACTGCATTGCCAGCAGAGTTCAGACTGGTACGTATTGGAATCACTTCCAGGACCCACCTGCAAAACCCATCCCAGAGGACGTACTTACAAACGCTAAAAATTGGACGAGGGACTAACGAATACATCTTAAGAACTCTCTACATGGACATTCGCTTAAATTCTTTTTAATTCACTCTGATAACAAGTATAAAAGTTGTTCCCTAGCCTTTGTTTTATAGCTAAGGAAACACTTGTTTAGAGATGACACTGGCCTTCCATTAAGCTATAAAATGTGCTTATTATACTCAGTGTCTTAATTCCCCTGGAAGAAATTCTAGAATATCCTACTAAAATTCAGATGACCAAATAATTAATATATGGTCACTTGAGAAGTTTGTTCTCAATCTTAATTGATTTTTCCAAATTAGAAGAACTTCAAGAGTAGTTAAAGTTTTAATGATTTAAAATATGTTTATATCACATCTTGCACATAGCTAGACAACATGATAAATGCTTGGACTAAATACTGGTAAATTTTTAAGGCATTGTTCATCACAAGTGTTCAATGCTATACCACAGATCTTAGCCAAATAATTTATTTGAATTTTTCTACATATAATTCTACTGTACTAGCGTGGGTAATGTAAGAGGCACGTTACACTTAAATGTATTCTGGAGTAGATACTTGCTAATAAGGGTCTCGAATTTCACAAATTGTAGTGTTGGAGTCTGTCCCACTAGAATTTACTTATTCTTTGTTTAGAATCTTAAAGCAGAAAATATTTGTGCTAACTTAAAGCTATGGTACAGCAAAATACAGTGGTCTCATTTGAGGAAAATTGGAAAATTTCTTCAGGTGAAAATACATCTCATAAATCCTAGCATATAGAAATGGTTTATTCCATATCTTTCTTGAATATCTGACCACTTCTTGTGAGATGAATATGGTGCTAATCATTTGTCTTGATAGTAAAACTTAAATTGCATTTATGGTAGCTAACAATTGCTTAATATATTACAGCTACTTTCAAGGGTTTAATAATCCTTAGTGATACTAAGTTTACATTTCCTTCGAATATTAAGTGCTTTGGACAGGTATTGTTTTGGATTGAGATGGGAATCATTTAAAAAGCCCCACATGGGCTGGAGAGATGGCTCAGAGGTTAAGAGCATTGCCTGCTCTTCCAAAGGTCCTGAGTTCAATTCCCAGCAACCACATGATGGCTCACAACCATCTGTAATGAGGTCTGGTGCCCTCTTCTGGCCTGCAGACATACACACAGACAGAATATTGTATACATAATAAATAAATAAATAAATAAATAAATAAATAAATAAATATAAAAAAAATAAAAATAAAAAGCCCCACATACGCAAAGTATCTTATTCGGTGCTATGTTCATCACTATAAAACACAAGCCGCAGAAGGATGTGTTCCTGCTCATATTGCACGCATGCTCTAGTCTCAGCCCATGCAAGTGATTACATGCTGGCAAATGCGGTGGCTTTGTTCAGCTCGTGGGCACCTGGTGCGTTCACAGGACACTCACATTGTTCGAGCGCAGAGACACACGGCCTCCACAGCGTGCACAGAACTTGGTGCGACAATAGGAGCAAAGATGGCCACATCCGTCAGCGAACTTAGTCTTATGACAGATTCCACATGTCGGGGCATCATCCTTGTGCTCGCCCTGGTACCGCCGTGCTTCCTCTCCAATCTTTCTCACTTGTTCTTTATAGCTTTCAAACTGTTGATGCAATCTCCTGGGCAAAAGAGACAAGAGAATAAACTAAGTAAATGAAGGAAGATAGACAACGCAACAATTTTTCCTAAAGAAAATTAAAGTTAAGCTGTTGGAGGAAAAGCAGTGCATGCAAATCTACTTTGCCCACAAAGGTGAAAACAGGCAATCTATCTGGGGGTACACAAACCCTGATCTTACTTGATCTTAACAAGAGATTCTACTTTTACTACTCTGGTGTGCACCATCCACAGCTGCTAAGGCAAGCCCTTTCCCAAAAGAACATTTACAGTAAGACTCAAATTCCTCAGTTCATCAATTCAAGTCCTTCAGTCTTAAATTGCTATACACAGATCGATTGGAAGAAAACCATCCAACCTACAGAGAGTCTCCCAGGTTAAGGATTTCTCCACATTGTAAATGAGAATGAAGAGTGTTGGTTGCACCAAGCCTAGTCGACAGTCTTGGACCACCTCACCAGGAGTGCATCCTGGGAAACAGCTGATCAAAGTCATCTCTGTGTTTGAGCTAGTGGGCTGGCCCTGAGTGCTCCATAAAACACAGAATGCACAGATGACATTGTTAATTCTGGCAGTTAACGTTGCAGTCCACAGAAGGGAGCCGTGAGAGCTGCACTCCCCAGACATACAAGGTGGTGAGCCAGGCCCATGCTCAGTAATGGTTCATGATGTTATGTGTTTCTTTTTAACCTCTAACAGCTCCTGAGCCGAACTTGAATCATTACTTTCTCCTTTCCAACTGATACTTTTTCTACTTAATCCATATGTACAGCGAATGTGTGTAGACTCCCATATAACACAGCAGATTATGGTGTTGACAGCATTCTCAATTGACAAGCCAGATAATTTCATTTTATAAAAGAATAACGCATGTGGCATTTAACTTCATGAATGTACAAATACCTGGTCCATTTGCTAATGAATTGTTTGTTACATTCACCATTTCATATCTTGCCATCAATGTAAGTTTGGGTTAGTAGGAAACTATCAGGAATGACGCTTATTTCTAAGGATGTGTACAAAATAGCACTGGGAGTCTAATACCTTCTAGTAAATAGAATGATTGTGAGGGATGGAAGAAAATAAATAACCCCAAATGAATAAACAGAAATAAATTTCAGCATAAGGAGAATCAAGAACAAACACTTATCTAGCCCCTAAGTCAAACCTTTACCATCAGGACCACTATGTCAAATCAACTAAGCAATCAAAAGTCTTTCAGAAGTCAGGCTAAGAAAGAGTTTTCTTGTAAATTTATTCTATAATATAGAGTATGATTTACTATGGGTGTTAGTAAACTTTTCAGCAAAAGGTCAGGCAATAAATATTTTAGTCTTTACGACTAAATAGAGTATTTGCTGTAACCTCCACTGTTCTGTTAGGAAAGGAGCCATAGATAGGGTTTAAATGAATGACTGTGGATACATTCTAATAAAACTTTTATTTATGAAAATAGACATCAGGCTACATTTGGCTAAAGGGCCAATCTTTGAATTCTTCACGTTGGATTTGTTTTATGCTAACATATAATGGCTTCCAAACAAAATTCTTCTGACATTTTAAAATTTAAACTTGGAAATTGTATACATTTTACTAGGATCAATCCAAAGGGTTTCTATCTCAGGATTTTATCATTTTGCTCTGTTTTTAGTATATGTATGTATGGTTCTTGAGATTGAACCCAGGGCCTAGTACATACTAAGTACACATTTTAAGACTGAAACACACATCCAGCCCTCAAAAAAATTTGTAAAATATGTAACATGTGAGGTTCTAGCCACTAAGATAAAATCCTTTTTTATTGCAATATTGTGGAGTTCCATGTGTTTATTCATAAGTCATTTCATATTTCTTAATAATGTGTCATTACTATTTCTGTATTTCTGTCTCCAAATATAAGAGATAAAGAATTTGGCCAACAATGAAGACAAATATCTTCTTAATGAAAACCAACATGAATTATATATATATATATATATATATATGTGTGTGTGTGTGTGTGTGTGTGTGTGTGTATGTATGATGTATGTATGTATAATACTTAAATATAGTTATAATTTTCATTGTCCATACTAAGGGGAAACACATATAATTAACAAATGAGTTGATAATGACAAAATTTCTGAAAAAACCTCATTTACTCGCATAAAATAATAAACCCTGGTTAAATGCTTCCAACATAGTTTAAAATTAATGTTGGAGCAGGAAATAAAGTGTGCAAAGTCCATAAAGAGTAAAATGAAATAGGAACACTATTTGACAAGTTAACATAACTCAGATGCAGAGATCTGTTTGGGAGCAGGCACTGAGGCTCGGTGATCAATAACTTCGTTTTAATTGTTGCACATAAAAGTAAACGCTTTAGGTAGGCAGCCAACAAAAATACTTGAAATAAAACGTATGATTTCTCCACTCAGTGATGGAAAAATTACAAAATTCAAAAAATCAAAAGATTTAATTTAAAAATAAAAACACAGACCTACAGAGAGAGAACGGTAAATGGCTGTTGCAGGAGATAGCAGAGATAATGAACTCATTAGGAATCATACGTAGAATGCAGTGCAGCATCAGTACCAGACAAAGATGTCCATGCCAGATTGTTAAAATGCTAGTTAAATGAGGCTTAGAAAAGACAGACTCAAACATAGCATGATTTGTGATTTCTAATGAGGTGAGTTATTTACATTAAACACAAAGACAGAAAGAATATTTGCAATAACAGTAAAAAAAGATATTTCAAGGAAAGAGTAAACAAGCAAAAAAAAGCCTGAATAAATAAAATAAATTATAATATTTAACTCAGAAAGGATTACTAAGCCAGTAGTCAGGTAGAAGGTTCACAGCTATATGCTCTGCTCTCTGAAGGATGAAGGATTCAGACTGAGTTTAAGGCCAGCCTCTGTTATAAGTTAAGACCTCATCTCAATAAAACAACCAAATACACACACACACACACACACACACACACACACACACACGAATGCAGGCACATGCATATGCACACACATACACTTAATGATAATAAAAATAGCCTCTTATCTAAAAGTATGAATTTAATGTTTACATAAACATTCATCAAAATTCAGTTTGAACTTAACTGAATAAAATATAAAGAATAGGAAAATTCATCTTCAAAATTTTAACCCTTTCTTGTAATTGACAAATTGATGAAAATACATCACAATAGAGGATATTGTAAGATAAATATAAAGTATACTCTAATGGACAAATATACAGAAGCATATATGCATATGAAATGTATGCACATGGGTTGTGCTACACAAACGTGTGTAAATTTCTTCATCAAGCACATTAATCAATCTGTGTAAGACTCTCTCTGTTTTTCCCTTTTACATTGTTTAAATTCATATATGAAGATTCTCAAAGTATGTAGAAAGTTCTGTGCCTCAGGAGTATCTGAGATTATTTCTTAATGCAGAGGTGGAATTAGTTCATGATATTTGCTCTCCCTCTTTCCGTTTCTCCATATATATATATATTATACATATATATTATACATATATATTATACATATATATATTATACAACATCATGTATACTATATATGTATGTATACACACATTCCATACATAAATATATATATATGTGTGTGTGTGTGTGCTGTTTGTGTGTGTGAAACATTTCATATTAAAGAGGAAAAGATCCTTTCTAGCTTATCAAATACCACTGAATAGCAAATGAACTCAACAGAATTATAGAGATAAATGCATTTAATAATATTGAAAAGGTGTAAAAGAACTGATAATGCATTAATTAGCTTTCAGAAGAAATACAAACATTTGACTCTACAATAACATTGTGAAATAGACAGCACCATTTCCACTTTATTGACAGGAAAACCAACATCTGTCTGAGACTTTAACTTTCTATGTTGACATATCATTCTAAATTCACCTTCTTAAGAACTTTTCCCGAGCTCACATAAAGGGAGACAACAAATGTGGATGCCACTTGTAACTTCAAGCATTTCTGGAACCATGATAGTGTGAATTTACCAAGCAAAGTGAACTTTTGGTGAAATATACGAACAAAACCTGATAATGGAAAAGCAAATACAACAGTAATGAATAGTGTTTGTCCCCACACTCCCTTTTTACCAAACTGACTTCAAGATACTGTTTTCTTTTCAAAACTACAACCCTGGTCTTAATGGTTTGAGGTTCCAGAATTTACTATTGTGACTACTTTTGCTTCTTATACTATGTGGTCTCTTAGATCATGACAAAGAAGTAAATATTATTAGTTCTTTCATGACCGAACACATTAAAGTGTTTTACTAGGAAAAGGAGGTGTTTCCATGGATGTGTGAGGTCAAAGCCTCTACAGTCTTATTTTCTCCTTTGGAGGAGTGAGGGTACTTGCAAGGTGCAGTGTCTTTTCCCAGAGTGGGTACATAAAGGATCAGGATAGCTCTTTCCCAAGTCCTTTGCACAAAAGCTCAGAAAACCATCCAGACAGGCAACATTCATACTTTATCAAGGCCTCCTGTCTACTGGCCCTAGGCAGTCTGTATCCATCTTAACTCATCTCGTATGTGTTACAGCAATGGATTCAGAATTGGCCATGTTCACAGAAGGGTTCTAAACATCCGAGAAGGCAAAGACCATGATCCTGCTCTGGCTGAAAATTTATTACACCTTCAAACTGCTTTCTTCTGACGTTTCTTCCTTTTGTTAAAGGTAAATCCCTTATATACTACTGAAAAACACAGTAACTTTGGTCCCCATTAAGCTCACTGACTTTCTTTCTATAATAAAGGAAAGCAAGAAAGAAGAAAGGAGAGAGGGATGGATGGATATAAGAGAGGGAAGTGATTCATCACGCTCATGCCCTCAAAACAGCTCCGTAAAATGTAATACTCTAATCAATTGGTCTGTTAGTACAATCTTAATGACCTTCCTCAATACACACTCCTCTGAGAATGTTCTCACATCTCATATTCTCAAGACAATATCTTAAAAATGAAATCGAATTCTGGGAC